TTTCCCAGAGGAGAGCCCGTCACTCCCAGCTTTGGGGGGAAAGCAAGGTCTCTCAAGACCGACTGGGTCTTTGTGCCTCACTGTCACCTCCCACCTGTCACTGCCACAGGGAGCACCCTCTTTCCTGCCTCTGTCCCTTTGCTGTGCTATTCCCTCTGCCCGAATTTCCCTTCCCACTTTACTCCACCTGGCTCGGCAAACCGGAATCATCCTTCAAGTCCCAGCACAGGTGCCCACTCCTCCCTAAAGCCGTCCAGAAACACCAGGCACTTTTAATGCAACAAATATTTGGCTGTCTGCCTCGTGTGGGTCCCTGAGTTGGGCTCAGCAGGTACACGCACTTCTTACGTGGGGTCTGTCTCCCTGCCTGGCCCTCAGAAGAGTGGACTGTATCTTTATCGCTTTTAATAGCCCGAGGGCACATGCGCATGTCACAGAGAGGCAGAGAGAGGGGCGAGAGCAGAAGCACACGGTGCTGCACTGCGGCCATGCTGCAGCCCCTCTCTCCCAGGTCTCCAGCCCACTAGGATCTGGGCTCACACGCATGCATCGCTGTGTTTCTCAAGCCACCAAGGCCAGGATTCGAACCAGGTTCACCCCTATGGGATCCAGCTCCTGAACACTACGCCACAGGTCTGGCTGTGCCTTTATCTTTCTAACCGGCTCTTGGTGAGGTGCCTGGCCTGGCACACGTGGGTGCTCCTGTGTCTCTCACATGCAGTTAAAGAAACCCAGGGAGGGGGGAGCCACAGCCCCTCTCCTTTAACATAAAGGCCACCAAAGGCCCTGGAGGCCCACAGTGCCCTGAGGTAGGGCCAAAACACCCACTGCAGCCGCCCCTGACCGTGAAGACAGAAATCACAGCAGCCTGCCCTGGCCTGGCCTTGGCAGGACACAGGCATGGAGCAGGGTTGGCAGGCAGGGGGTGGGTGGACAACCCTGACCCGCCTCCCTCCTGCCTGCCTGACTGTCCTCAGTGAAGGGTGACCCCTGGCTCATCTGGACGAGCCACTGTCCCCACTCCGGCTCCTTAGCGGCAGCCTGCAGGCAATTGCACCATCAGCTTGCAAACGTTTCGGACAGCAGAAGCCCTCTTTCCCCAAAGGCAAGCAGACATAAGTCATAGGTGAATAAAACTGGCACTGCTGGGGGACCAGCCAGTGGTATGGTGGTTAAGGCACTGGACACTCCCATATGGCCAACCACGGTTCGAGTCCTGGACCTGGCGGTTTTCTTTCTCACTTTCCCTCTCTCTCTCTCTCACTGGTCAAATTAAAATAAATGAATGAGCACATAAAATTTTAAAAAACAAACGGGTGCTGTTCTGGCTAGAGGGTCCCTTCCTCTGATTCCCCTGCACCCCAGCCCTTAGCCACAGCCCAAGGGGCTCCCTGGAATCCGCCCCCAGCCTCCAGGCTCCTCAGTCCCCGTCCAAAAACTACCGAGTTAGACATCTCCCAGCCCTTCCTACCCACAACTCTCGCCCTGCGTGCCTCTCCAGATGGGCAAGATGGGGGGCTATGGTGGCAGACCCAGCAGGAGGGACGTCTGCCCTGACCAGAACCGGCTCAGCAGGTGTCCACACGGCACCTGTCAGGATGATGCCCTCCCTGCGCACAATCCCAATCCGAAGCTGTGGCTTCAGAGCCGGCCTGGAGACGCGAGGGCATAGGGCGGCCCTGGACAGCAGGGCAGGGGCAGGCGGAGCTGGGGGGACGCACCTGGCGTGCTGGAAGTACTCCTTGTGATGGTTGCGGTAGAAGACGGAGAAGCGGAGCATGCGGCCCGCGATCTGCTCTGCCTTCTCCTGCAGCTGCGCCAGGTGCTCCTTGGCGTAATCTGCAGGAGCCCGGGTGCAGTGAGGTCAGAGAGGGCCCCGAGGGTGCACAGCCTCACCCTCTTCTGGCCCCCCACCCCACCCCATGCGTGCCGCCACCCTTGGCTCTCAGAGTGGCAGGGAGACCAGATGGCCACAGCCCCTTGGACTCAGATGGAACAGGCCAGCTGGCCTCTGCTGAGCACGCAGAGAACTGCAGGCCGTCTCTCCTTGTCACCTCTGCTTCCTTCTTGCCAGAGGCTCAGGGCTCTCAGGGTCAGAACAGGGCAGGGTACTGCCAGGGATCAAACCAGGCCACAGACTGTCACCCAGACCACCCTCAGGTGAAAACTGGGGCAGCGAACAAAAGAAGGACTTGAGAGGGCCGCGGGGAGCCCTTGGGGAGAGGCCCCAAATCCAGCTGCCGGGAGGCTGCCCGCATCATCCCCTGGAAGCTGCAGCCTATGCGGGTGGGGCTCACGGAACATCGGTACCCACGAGCACAGGGGTTTAGGCAGACCAACGTCTGGGCATCTCCGGAGAGCAGAGAAGCGGGAACAGGGTAGGAAAAGGGAGCCCCTGGGGCCGGGGCTGGGGCCAGGGCTGCGGCGTCAGAGCCCAGGGAGGCTGCGGCCAGCTGAGCCAGGGCCCTTGTACCAAGTAGACAAGGGCTGAGTAGACCCCACAGCCTAGTGGTTAAGGGACCCAGATCCCACATGGCCAACCACGGTGAGAATCCTGGCCTGGGCGCTTGAGGCACACACCTGGTGTGTGCACGTGTGTGCCCCAAATCCTGACAGGATGGAGAAGGGGAGGAGGGGGGACTGTGGCAGGACCATACCCCACTGGGGGGTGATTTCTCTCTCTCTCTCACATGATGCCTTCTGGTGGTTAAATAAATTAATAAATATGAAAAAGAAAAAGGTGTCCTCTCCAGGCCAGCAGGTGGTGGAGGTTAAGGCGCTGGATCCCACATGGCCAACCACATGGTTTGAGTCCTGGACCTGGAGGCTTAAAAATCACACTAGGAGCGTGTGCATGCCCAAAATCCTGAGGAGACTGGACGAGAAGGGATTGCAGTGTGGCCACTCCCTCTTGGGGGGGTACTTTCTCATTTTCCCTCTCTCTGGCGAGAGTTTTGTGTTTGTTTTCTTGTATTTTGTTTTAGCTAAACTGAAAAAAATAGGTGCCATCTCCTTGCTGATGCATCCCTGGGGAGGGTAGTTAATCTGGGAAGAGGAGGTTCAGCTGGCCTGCAGCCTCTCCATCACCCAGTTTGGATTAGATGCCCACTACATGTGCAGTTCTCCCCGCAAGGAGCAGGGGTGGAGTTTCGCAGCAGAGTTAACGAAAAGTACCACTCAAAAGACAACAGCCGCTCAAGGAGACTGGGGCACAGGGCAGGGCTAGAAGCCAGCAGCCGCAGAGACCCGGGGCGGGGAATGTTCCTGCCCCTTCGCGGTGGCAGAGGGAGATCTGGAGCAGTTCTCACCACGAGCACCAGAGGACTGTGGGCAGCTGGGTCATAATGGCTGATCACGCGAGCCTGGCCTCACCTGGGATGGCACTTGCAGGTGAGGTTCTGCCAAGAGAGCCCGCAGGCCACTGAGCAGGACTCGGGACAAGCCACACGGGGCTTCCCTGCCAAGTGCCCGTCGCAGAGGTGGAGACGCAGGCTGTGCCAGTGCCCGCGGACACTGGCACAGAAGGTAAGGGCATTCTGATGTCCCCTACGACCCGGCCAGGCCCTGAGCACGTCGCGCTACGCGAAATAAGCCAATTGCAAAAAGACAAATACTGTGTGGTCCTGCGTGCGTACCATCCCGAGAGAAGTCAAGTCCAGGAGAGAGGAAGCAGGAGGGGCATTGCTGGGCTGGGGAGGGGGTCGTGGGGAGCTGCTTAACGTGTCTGGGGCTTTGCTTTTGCAAGATGGAGGAGAGGCGACTGGTTGCGGGATGACATGAATGTACCTCTAAGGGGGCTAAGATGGTCAGTTCTGTTGTGTATATTTTACCACGGGTTTTGTTTTTGTTTTTTTTTTGAGAGGTTTTTTTCACTATAGGGCGCATGCGCTCACCAGACAGAGAGAGACATAGAGACAGAAAGCGAGAAATCACCCCCCAGGGGGGATGGTTACGCCACAATCCCTTCTCCTCCATTCTCCTCTCGGGATCTTGGGCACGCACGCACACGCGCCCGGCGTGAGTTTTAAGCCACCGGGTCCGGGACGCGAACCGCGGTCGACTACATGGGAGTCCAGCGACAGAGCCATTACGCCAACTGCTGGTTCCCACCACGGTTTTTAAAATATGCTCGCCATAAGCAAGAAAAGTAACTCTGGCCCTTTGAGGAAGTGGCATTACCGACATGATTCGCGGTGTCAGCCTCTGCCTCAGGGGAAAGGGCTCTTGGAGCACCGGGGAGGGTCTCATCCACGCCTGTCTCCCAGCCTGGCTCAGCGTGGGGCGCATGGCAGGTGTCCCTGTATCCGCTGGACTAAGACGGAGCCCCCTAGGCGCGCTGAGCCCGATGCACCGATGGCGGTGACAGGGCAGGGCCTCACCCCCGGTGCAGAACTCCACAGTCTCGCTCCAGCCGGACACCAGGTACTCGCCGTCGCTCTGCTTCACGGCCGTCTGCACGGCCACGCTGTACTCGGTGCGCGGGCTCAGGAACCAGTGGCCGCGCACGGTCATGGGCAGCGGCACCGCTTTGGCCACGAGCTTGGTGGGGACATCCTGAGAAGTGGGGTGCAGACGGGGATCCAAGAGTCAAACCCAGGCTCACCCCCTGGGAGCCCCCATTCCTCCGCAGAGGGCCGGAGTCTCAGGGGCCCCAAGGCTCCATGCCCACAGCACTACTTCCTGCAGAGGCAAGCAGCGGTCACCGGGAAGGCCACAAAGAGCTTCCCAGCCCCTACCCCGCCTCACACCCCAGACCTGTCCTCTCGGGAACCGAGGGGAAAGGCCACCGGGAGGAGACCGGGAAGTCGAGGGCGGCGAGACCTTCGTGTTCGTGTTCGTGTTCGAGTTCGAGGGAGACTCGGAGAGCTGAGCTCACTGCAGTGCTGTCTCCACGGCAACAGCAAAGCTGAGGAGCCAGGAGGAGGGAAATATGCCTTATTCTTTGGGGGGAGGGTTAAGGGGGTGGCATTGAACATTCACGTCACCGTGGCAACTGGCCTGCCAAAAGACACCCAGATCAGGAGAGCCAGTTCCAGAGAGGGTGAGTAACCCGCAGCGATGCCGAAGCCGTCGTCCCGGGAGCAGGCCGCTTCGCCCTCGCCCTCCGCCTCTGCCAGCTGCAGGGGATGGGAGACGTCCTCCTGCACACCCCACGCCAGCTTCTCACCCAGGGGAGGCACACTCCTCGGGCCTCGCTCCTTTTCTAACCCAACCAAACGGCTGGCCCGTGGGCGAGGGCCAGAGAGAGTCCAGAGGCCTCAGCGGAGGCCCACGCAGCCCAGCCAGCCTGAGGCAGGCCTGCCTCGAGGGCAGGTTTGGTCAACACTGAGGTGTCATGGCCACCTCGCCAGGCTCTCGGCCCTGACTGAAGTCCTGGTCCTCGCGCTGATAAGAGCGTGCGCTCCATGCCAGGCACCGTGCCAAACACCACGCAGACATTACTCATCGGCTCCTCTCCACAACCGGTGAGGACTGGCAATGCTCCTCTCGTCACAGGGAGAGGATCGGGCTCAGAGACGTCAAGTTTCTGTCCCCAAATGACGCAGTGACAATCTGATTCCATCCGGGCCTCTGACTGCCAACCGTGACTGCAGGCACTCTACTACCCTCCTTCCTGGGCAGGCATTAGGAGCCAGGCAATGGCACAGTGGTAATACGCAATGCTCTGCAAGGCTGACCCACATGGGAAGCCGGGTTCAAGTCCTGAGACCTCCCTGAGAAGAACACCGGGCACGTGTGTGCCCACAATCCAGGGTTGGCTGAGGTTGGAGGTGCTATCTCTCTCTCTCTCTGTCTCTCTCTCGGAAGAAATAAACTTAAGCACAAAGGATGAGGAAGCACAGGTGTTAGGGAGAGGCGCGGCCCCTACTCACTCGGTGCTTGAACTTGTTGGAGTTCTTGTTCTCCTTCTTGTTGAGGTCGATGAAGTAATGAGTGACCCTCTCCACGTCGCTGTCCTCCATGGCCCAGGAGATGCGGAAGGAGTCGCAGGTGATGTTGTTGATCTCGATGCTATGCGGGGTGGACAGCAGCTCCATGCTGCCCTCTGGTCTGGCTCCTGCGGGACGAGGGGGAGAGGACGAGTCAGCTCCCCCCACCCTGCCCTGGAGCTCCTTGGCGCCTCCTGCTCCCCGCATCCCTCGGTCCCTCGCGAAGTGGAGCTGCCAATCGCACCTGCTCACACAGGGGAGGAGAAGATGGCGAGGGAGAGACCGGGGGTGGGACGGGTGTCCCGAGTGAGGGCTCTCCTCTCCTGGGAGGGGTCTGAGAGCAGAAGGCACCTGACAGGTGGCAGAGGCAGTGGGAATGCTGCAGACGCTGGCCAGGGACAGATTCGCGGCAGATGGAGCTGAGGAGGGAGGGGGCCTTCAGCCAGCAGGCGTGAAAAGAGAAGGGAATGGGGGTGGAGAGTGGGGAGAGGGGGCCGGGAAGCACCTGCTGAGGTTGAGGTGGGAGGACGGGCAGGTGGCGGGCAGCAGCAGCCCAAGTCCATGGGGCCCAGTTCTCGGGTGCAGGCCTCTGTCCTCTCTGGGGTGGCTCAGCCAGGGGCTCATAGGTGACTCTGGTGGTAGGGGACTACACAGGCCACAGCCTGCCCTGAGCTCTTTCTCCACCCGTAACTTTCTCCTGATCGATAGCTCTTTCTCTTTCAGCTGCTCCTCCCAAGTCCCCAGTGGTTCATTTTAATGTTGATGTCCAGGGGTGGGGGGGGGGCACGTCCTGAGCCGTCCCAAGACCCACAGCAGGAAAGTACCATGCTGCCGTCCCGTTTTACAGGTGAGCTGAGCGAGGCCTTTAGCGGCCCACAGCCCGCCCCCGGCAAGTGACTGAGCCCCTGCACCCGATCCCTCTACCGTCAGCCAAGGCGGGGTCCTGTGTGCCGCATGTGTGTGAGAGAAACACATGGTACGTGCCTGGTGTGTGCGTATGTGTGCATGTGTGAGAGAGAGATGGGTGTGGGAATGCAGGTGAGACGTGTGTTACATGCCCATTGTGTGCATGCGTGTGCGAGACATGCTTGCTATGTGCATGGCTGGTATATGTGAATGTGTGTGTGATGTGAAAGTGTGACATGCATGGTACGTGTCTGGTGTGTGTGAGAGAGTGTGACATGCATGGTACGTGTCTGGTGTGTGTGTGTGTGTGAGAGAGAGAGCGTGACATGTATGGTACGTGTCACACGTGTTTGAGAGAGTGAGACATGCATGGTACACGCCTGGCGTGTGCACACATGAAGGTGCGTGTGATGTCCCCTGTACTTACTTCCGCCATGGTTTCCTTTTAAGCAATCACATTTTCCTGACCTCCCTCTCCCACCTTCGGCTCCCCTGGCATCCGGTGCCCTTCCAGGTCTGCAGGGGCTACCTCCCACCTCTCTGGGCACCACAGGAGGCGCTAACCCGTCCTAGACTCCAGGGAGCAGGGGAGGGAGAGTGGAGGGCGGGGACCAGCTCTGGGACTTCTCCCAGCTGGGTCCCATGCTGTCCCAGTTCCTTTGGAGCACAGCGTGGGTACACCTCCATTCCCCTCTTCTTTGCCCCCACCCCTGCCCAGGAGATGGGGTGAGAGCACCCTGTGCCTGACAAGGCAGGTGCTTTTATTTATAGCTGCCAGAAGATCCAGCCCACACTCACCTGTCAGTTAAGCCTACTCCAGAGTCGCACACCTCCACATTAAACTGTGGGCTGCCTGGGTCGTCGGACAGAGTGAAGGCCATGGCTGATGGCCCTTACCTACCTCGGGCTGTCACTCAATCCTGCTTTCACCCCAGCCTCCCACCCTAGAGCTAAGTGCCCGTGGCTTCATGCGCAGGGAATCCCATGGCAAATAAGTGTGGAGGCGCTCCGGGGTCCTCTCCAAATGGGACAGATGGGAGCAGGTGTCCGGAGACAGTCCTGCGGCCGTCAGCCCATTTGTAGCTCACAGGGCAGGTGGGGGACTCAGCATCTCCCAGGTCCCCAGGGAGCTCCTCGCTGGGAGACGTGTGCACACCCACGCACATGCCCAAGCACACGAGCGCACGCCCCCCTGAGAGGCCGCTGGGAAGAAGCCACACCTGCTTCGCGACAGGACGCCTGTCCCCGCCTGGACACCCGGTCTCCGACTTGTACAGAGGAGGGGCAGCTGTGCTTGGTGGGGGCCCAGGGCTTGGCCGCTGCTCCACCCTCCCCTCTGGGCTCTGGGAGAGCTGAGGTCTCTCCACTCTCCCAGGAGAGTGGCTGTGAGTGCCAGGGTGGGCCGCAGGTGGGCAGGCACCAGGGGACAGGGAAGGGCAGGGTGTGCAGGACAGGCTGGGGCGGCGCCCAGGAAACACCCACACTCCCGTGTGACTCCACGTCCACTCGGGCGGGCACACATATCCACACATGTACCACACGCCCCCCAGACATCCTCACTCCCACGCTCACCTACGTACCCAGGGACCTGCTGCCGGCCTCACAGTCTGAGAGCGCCCCAGCCTCTTGCCTCTGCGAGCTGTCGCCTCCACACAGACCCACATGTGCTGGTGTCCACAGGCTCACATACACATGCGTGCACACCTTGCAAGCCGTGTGTGGGGAGAGGAGGGAGCCACAGGCACCAACATGTGTGTGATATGTGTGTACTGCCTCCACAAGAAGGCATGCACCTGGCATGCAACACACACACCCGCCTCACACACGTGAACACCCGCACACGCATCAGCCCCCACCTGTGTTCTGGTGTTTCTGCCTCAGAACATGGACTCGGGAAGTGCCTCTGCCACACTGCCAGCCCCCACCCTGTGCCCACAGGTCTGCGCACCTCCTCAGGGCCACCCACCTGCCGCCACCCCATCCACTCCCCACACGCTGCCCGCACGCCCTCTCACACACATGACAGGTGACAGGTCTGCCCCCGAACATACTGCCTCACAGAGCCCCCCCACATACACCCACAGGCTGCTCTGATAAACGCTCCCCGCACACATGTGCCTCGTGTGCACAAGGTATGTTCTTAACATGCCACACACCAGTGAAATCCCACGCCTGAGCATAGCTGCATGCGCACGGACCTACCTATGCCAGCACGCTTACGGCCCGCACAGGCGGGCATCAGCTGTGCACGCTGATGCCCCTTCCCCAGTCTGGTCCAGAAAAGCCGCCCACATGCCCAGGGAAGGCTGCCCCCCCACCGCCGTCCCTGTGGGCATTGCTGGCTGCAGCAGAATGGCCCCAGGGCCGCTCTTTGGGGTGTCCCAGAGGCCGGGGCCAGCTGCTAACCTTTGCCAAGGGCCTGGGGGAAAGGGGACAAGGTCGTGTGCCCTGGCGGGCCAGATGGGCACCGGGCAGTGGCAGGACCTGGTGCCCCACCCCAAGCCTCTCGAGACAGCAGTGGGGTGCTTCGGGGAGGAAGGACACTCACCTGGCTCCCCCAGGCGCTGCAGAGGAAGACCTGGCAGGGAGGCACCTGGAGACCTCGGGTGGATGAGCTCCCCAAGCAGGGCCCCTGTGCAGCCAGACGCTGGGTCACAGGAAGCTGCGCGCGCTCGCTCCGCTCCCGCTCCCGGCTCACAGGGAGGCTGCCTCCATGCCCCGCGGGCAGCTGCTGTCTGCTTCAGCCGGTGCTGCTGCTGCCCCGGTGAGCCGCTGTTCCCAGCCGCCGAGCGAGCGCAAGAAGAGGCGAGCGAAATCAAAGAGCGTGGAGGAGAGAGAGGCAGAGAAGGCAGAAGCAGCGAGAGCCAGACCAAATCTGGCTCCACCAATGGGATCCGCGACTGCACAGCGTCAGGTGATAAGGAGCCGCTAGGTCCTTGCCCACTGGAGCTGGAGGGGGGGAAAGGGCAGGGGGTCTCCCCAGGCACTGCCCTTGGAGACAGCGGTTGCCACCTTCCCCCGTTCTTCCAGGATGAGCTGCCCTGGGGCGTCCCTGCAGCTCACCCCACTTGGAAGTCCCTGACTTGAATGCAGCCCCCAAACTTCAGGCTGCTGGAAGGGGGTGGGGCTGAGCCCAATGGCTTGGGCCCCAAAACAAGGCTTTTGATTGGGGGAGTGGGAGGAAGGCTTTGGGGGGGGGGAGGTCCTGCCCCAGGGGCTCTGTCTTCGCCTGGGTCCTCTCCTGGGGCCTCTAGCTGGCCCGTGGCTCCATTTTCCCACCAACTTGGTCCAAAGCTATTCAACCTGCAGCCTGGGGTCCCCGGATGGTCCAGTGAAGGTCCTTGGTGGCTCGGGGCACAGAGGGACGAAGTGGATTAGTGAAGGGCTCACAGAGCAAGAAAGTGGGGGTGGGAGGACCCACAGAGCTCTGAGTTCTCACCCCAGCCCAGGGAGCCAGCCCTGAGCACCTCGGCCAGAGCCTGCATGTCTGCTCCCCTACCAGCAGGTGTTTCCTTCCTCCATGACAGAGTGTGTGAGAGCGAGCGAGCGAGCGAGCGAGCCGAGAGCATCTTCCACTGGGAGAGTGGGGGGTGGTGGTGGTCACACCACCATGCCTGTCCCCCAGTCCTCCAGCCATCGGCTTGTAGGCACTCCTGCACATGCCCGGCGCGTTTCAAGCCAACCAGACAGGACTGTGGATCCCCGTGGCCATGTGCGATTCGGCCTCTGAGCAGCAATTATCGCTGTGCCGCCACCAAGAAATGAGGCCCCTGGGGACACAGAGGGGAGAAACACAGACGGTACCAAGGGGTTTGTGCTGTGGGGAGGAGCGTGGCTCTGTAGCCAGACGTGTGGACATTCCTCCTCCATCTCTTCCTGCTGGGAGTCCCTGGACGGGTGACAGGACCTCTTGGAGTTTTGGTTCCTTCATCTGTTGAGTGTGGTAACGCTCAGGGGCCTGGAGCATGAAGAAGCGCTCACGGCCTGTTGCAGCCATGACCATGGTCATGTCGTTATGGACGGGGTCTGCCTACAAGGAGCCCACAGTCCGCGAGAGAGGAAAAGCCAGACCTTTAGAAAACAAGGCAAGGAACCAGCAGGTGGCATAATGGTTACGTCACTGGATTCTCACATAGTCGACCGTGGTTCAAGTCCCAGACCTGGTAACTTGAAACTCGCATCAGGTATGTGTGCGGGCATGCCCAAAATCCTGAGAGGATAATGGAGGAGAGGGATTGCAGTGTGGCCATCTCCCCTGGGGGGTGATTTCTCGCTTTCTCTCTCTCTCTGTCTTTCCAGTGAGTGCATGTGCCCTATAGCAAAAATCTCTAAAAAAAAAGGAGAGTACATGGGGTCTTCAGAAAGCTCATAGAAAATGTAGAATATAAGAAAACAATATTTGGATGGATCTCAAGTTTTTTGCATCACAATAAACTTGTACATTATTTGTTTTTTCGGTTTTCAAATCCTATCAATCCTGTCCTTAAGGCAGCACAAGGGGCCGTGGGAGGACAATGACAGGCTGTCACGCAGGGCACAGACTCAGAGCAAGACATGCGGCCGGCTCCATAGACAGGTGGGCGCAGCCAGAGAAGCCGGGAAGCAGGACGAGGGGCAGAGCATGGTGCAGGGCAGTGGGTGCCGCACAGTCCCGGAGTGAGGACCTCCGGGAGCAGGAGGTGCAGCTGGGGTAAGGGGTGCTCACCCAGGGGGTGTAGGGGCTGCAGACACTGGCACAAAGGTCAGAGGAGGTGACAGTGGACAGAGAGGGGCAAAGTCCCAGATGCAGACAATCAGAAGCCTATTCCTGTCTGGAAAGGGTGTGAGAACCTGAGCCAGTTCGGTCAGATCCGAGCCCCGGAATGTGGGGTGGGGTTTCACACCAGGCAGGATCAGGCTCGCCCTTGGCCAAATGCGACTAGGTGCCGCCCCCTCGCCTACGCTGACATGTGGGAACTCAGAAGGGATGTGAGAGGTGAGCTTGTGGGTCGGCCAGCACCAGACAGCCAGACTGAAGTCCTGTCCCTAGGACACGAGGGGCTGTGGGAGGACGGCAGGCTTTCTGCAACCTGATCACATACTACTGGTGTGAGAAAACTAGCATCCAAATGAGGCCCACGCTCGTTAATTTTCCTGGAAATATTACTAGGTGGGAAGAGATTTTTGCCTTAGTAATGTTCATTGCGGGTTATTTAGAATAGAGAGAAAGAGAGGCCAGCTGGTGGTATAGTGGTTAAGGAGACTGGATCCCGCATGGCTGGTAGACCTGGCGCCTTGGGAACATGCTTGGTGCATGTGCGTGTGTACCCAAAATCCCGAGAGGAGAATGGAGGAGAAAGGAATATGGCATGGCCATCCCCACTGGGGGAGTACTCTCTCTCTCTCTCTCTCTCTCTTTCTCTCTCTCTTCCCCTGGCAAACACACATGCCTTATAGTCAATTTTTCTTTAAAAAAGTAGACTCACAGTGAGGGTGTGTGCATGCGTGCCCCAAATCCCGACAGGAGAGAGGAGGAGAAGGGATTGTGGAGTGCCCATCCCCCTGGGGGGGCAATTCTCGCTTTCCCTCTCTCTGTCTCTCTCCAGCAAGCACACACTCTCTATAGCAAAAACTTAATAATAATAACAGTAATAGAGAAAAAGAAAATTAACCATAGGAGGGCAGAGGACTAGCTTCCCCCAAAAGGTTTATGGCCTGATAATAGCCCTAGACAGCACCTTCGAACAATGCGGAGCGGGTTTGGTCAGGTCCCAAGCCCTAGGATGTGGGGTGGTGGGTCCCCTTGGTAAACAGAAGACTAGTCCTAGCGTCTTCTCCGCCTCCCACCTCGGGATGGCATGCAGCGGCGGCATGAGGTCATGTGTCCCGAGAGTGCGCAGCCCGTCTGAATGCCCCTTTGTGGAGCTGTGTGCTTGCGCCATGTCAAGACACAACCCTTCCAGAGCTCCTGCCTCGTCTTGCCTCAGAGGACTCCTCCGCAGGTCACAAGAGCAAACACGTGGCGAATGCCAAGTATAACCCACTCTGTGTGAGCCAAGCAGCCGCCAGGACGCTTTGCTGCCGTGTCTTTATTTTTAATAACTTTGTATTGCACAGGTACTACGTGGTGGTTGTAAAAAGGTGAGGACATTTCATTCTAAACTTTAAGAGAATGAAAAATGCTCATTTTCTCACCCTTCAGAAACATGGATATGTCCAGCGACATAGCCATTACGTCAACTGCTGGTCCCTCCTCTTCTCTATTCTAAACAACACTGTGTTGAGCATCCTTACAGAAAAATCTCTTCTCACACATCAATTCTATTCCCAATGAATTAGTAATGGGTGTGGGCCTTATTTGGGTATGGATTTATATCCACTATACATACATAAAAAATCTGTATATGATCATTGGAGAAGCCCTAATACTAACTGGATATTGATCATATTTGTGAATCATGAGCTCTGATAATGACAGTATGGTTATTTTTAAAAGATACTTAACTGGACAGCTAGAGGGATGCCTCACCTGCATGGCTAGAGGGACGCCTCACCTGCACGGCTAGACGCCTCACCTGCACGGCTAGACGCCTCACCTGCATGGCTAGAGGAATGTGGGCACCATGAGCCAAGACGGGACACTGTGGAGGAGTTTGAAGAGGAAGGTCAGACAGAGGTCTGGACTGGACACAGTTTGCGTGGCCTGCCGACTGCAGGTGGAGGTGTAGACTAGGTAGATACACACCCAGAATTCAGGGAGGCCCAGAGAGCATGTAAGCTTCGGGGAATCGTCAGCCACTGTGAAGCCGAAAAAGCCACCTTTGTCAAGCACATCAGCACAGACAGAAAAGGGAAGATCCCCCAGGACAGACGCCTGGAAATCGCCAGCATTTAGAGGTCAAGGCCACGGGAAGGAAGCAGCAAGTGAGTGGCTGACACAATGATGCAAATACTTGGGATGAGCTACGTGGAGAACATGTGGTGGCTGGGACTTGGCTGGCACTCCGATGCCTCACATTCTTTTTATTCTACTCACACATATTCGAACAGTTCCTTATTCACTTCCTATTTTCAGTGCCCATCAAGAACTCACAGGCATAGGCTCTCGATGGAACCCGTTTATACCTTCTAAAACTGCAGGTAGGCCCCACAACTTGTGTTTGTCTCTAAGAGTTTGATTGAGGTATGTATCAGAAAAGAGTGAGGTTATGGTCTCCACTATGAAATTTGTGGAAATAAAATGCAATAAAAGTGTTATTAATAACAAATAAAGATCTGCCAGAATCAATCCTTCACATGGAACTCAGCTGGTAATGACTGGCATGTTTCCATTGAGGCTCGATTAAAGAACGACCCTCGGGGGCCTGGCAGGTGGCAGTGGCTAAGGGCGCTGGACTCCCACATGGCTGACCATGGTTTGAGTCCTGGACCTGGCTTTCTCACTTTCCCTCTCCCTCTCTCTCTGGTCTAATTTAAAAACAAATAAGTAAATAAAGTGAAATAAAATAATGCTTATAAAAAAAGAACGACCCTCTGGAAGAAAATGAAGACAAGTGTGGGAGCCAGTAGAAAGAGAGCAGAATGGTACTGCAGGTGTCTTAGCTCAGCTAGAGGGAGAGTTGGAGAGCATTCCTAAAGGGAAATTATCATCATTGGCAGGAAGCTGTCCCCAAGACGTCAAAGGCAGAAGGCCCAGTATGTCTTCGCTCCCCTTGTCCCTTCGAAGGTGAACCTACTTTGGAAATGCAATAACATTGCAGGAAGACAATCAGTTAAATACACAATGGTGCAATGCAGAATACAATTTAGCCATTCGAAATCACCATCTAGAGGAATATTTAATAATTTGGAAAATGTATTACATTGCTATGCGTAAAAAAACAGATTATAGGGCCACGTGTAACATAGCCCAGTTTTTAAAAATCTGCATGTATAGATAAACAGCTTCTAGAATATAAAAGATGATGGGATAAGGATGGATGATTTTTATTTTCTTCTCAGTGCCTTTAAAATATTTCCAAATTCTGGGAACCAGCAGTTAGCATAATGGCTATGTCGCTGGATTCC